CATTATTATTCATGATTCAAAATAGTGGTTATTTTGAGGTGTTTTAGCTATTATTGTATTGTTTTGTGACACGTGTATTCTCCCATTTTAGGTTAGCTGTCACGTCTTTCCCAGTGTAGTAATTTTGTAGACAGATCTTGTGTTTTGCTTTTCTTTAACTGAATTTAGTTGTATTCTTCAAAAACCATTACACGTTTTTTTCTTCCCTCTAAACACATACAATGATGATTACAAGAAACTGCTTATCCTTTTGCCGTAATTAAGAAGAAAGACATTGTTTTATGATGTTTAACATAGTGAAAAAGTTAAGAAAATTTTAATGATGGGATCTTTAATAGCCTAAATTTAAAATCTATGGGCTAACACATTATAGATTTATGTGTTTTTAATCACGATGTGGAAAATAGGATGAAGACGTAATTGATGGTTGTTGGGTGGATTGGTATAATTGCATAAAGCAAAAAAAATTGTGGGGTAATTTGGTTTTAAAATGACTCAAGTGGAAGTAGTTGATGGAGGGGTCTTCTTCGAAGACTTAAAATCGTATCAGGTAAAGAAAATTGTTGGAGGGGCCCATAGCACTCGAATATTATTGTTACATTTCCATTATTGTCTTTCTTATTTGTTTTTTTAATAAGTGGGAAAAGAAAAAGGAAAAAAAAAAAACGAAATTATTTGAAAAATAATGTTTCAATACCATTAGTTAGTAGAAGAGTGATGATTCTAGTAGAAGATTATGCAAAAGACTGGTATGCTGCACTATTTACCCCAGATTCATGTTTTTGCTATAGATAGTCAGCACAAGCATTCTAATTCATAAGAGTATTGAATATTTGAACTCTCATTCTCTTAGAAAAAAAGTTTTTTAATATTGTGAATAATCGCGACATAGTAATGTCAAACATTAACAAACTCTGAGATAAACTTAATAGTAGAGTTGGAGTCAGAATAATACATCATGTTTTTTATGCCAAGTTCTCAGGCCATACACACCATGACATAGCGCCACCAGCTCTGCATGAAGGTCGTTGAAAAAACCAATATTACCCGCAAAACTGTGAACCCAGATAACATCAATATTTCAAATCAATCCATCAAAACTCAAGTCGTCGAGATTACCGAGGCTACGACCATCAACGTTCAAAATCATATACTACCTTTGTGTTCATTGAACGTGATAGTTCTCGTTGGATGAGACATATTATGTTAGAGATGATATTTAGCTAACAGATTAATATAATTCATTGTGATAAGTTTCAGATTTTAGGAAAATACTACTCCATTCGATGGGACACAATTTGTTCCTAGCGCGTTACAACCACCAGTAAGTAGAAAAAAATATAGACCCGCCACCGATGTCATGTATAATCCAATCATATAAACTATCTCGTTGAAAGAATAGGGAATTCAAGAAGCCAAAAAAATTTTAAAAGCGAGTAGCAAATTCAAAGTCTCTTAGGAAGCATAGAGTCGTCTCAACATCCTAATTGGATCTAAGATAGAGATTCGTCTGAAGCATACCACGATGAAACATTAATATCGTAGGAAGGGACTTATGTAAAACTGTTCAAAGGAAGAATTTCACCTTCTCAAGAGCATGAATATGCCAAACCCACTTTCAAGAGTTATTGTTGGGTGCATTCTGAACAAATTCAAGTTCGTTAAGCTAGTTATAACCATCCAAAGTAGTATAGATACCATATAAATTACCTTTCAGGTTAACCTATTAGGCACCATAGATTTCAAAAAAATAGGAAGTGTTTCCAGGTGATCACAAACAATTTGAGGAATACTAGTATATAACAGATTGAAGTTCCAATTGCCATCTAATTAAACATCATTGACTCTCATTTCTAGATCATGGATATCCCCATATAGAACTTTCTCCGCTAATTTCCCTTTTTGTTATACCCCAATTTTTGCCCCTATGATTTCTCATCATCTCATATCATCAATACATCGAGATCACGCATTAGAGTTGGTTCTCTCTTTCTATTTTATACCATCTTTAAGTTTTCTCTTGAGGGATTACCAAACACCTTAATTGTGTATCTTGTATACATGTATTTTATATTTTACTGACCTCTAACTAAAATCCAAAAATATGTCTTGTTTATTTTGTTTCTTTTAGAAGACAGGGTTTTAGATCAAGGAGTCAAGGTGATGGTTCTCCGATTAGGGTTGTGTTTTTCAGGATAAAAGTGGTTCCCAAAAGCCTATGTTTAAAAGTGGTGATCTATAATCTTAGGTCACACTATCCTCAAGCTTCATTCAGCATGGTTAAGGCGAGTTTGGTGGCTTAATTCTCAAGACTCTTCGAGATAGGCTCATATGTTTATTTCCATGCCTTCTTCGACGAGTAATCTCAAGTTCTGACAAGTGTGAGCATGATTTGATCAAGATTTCGTCATCTCAAGTTCATATGTGCTTAAGAGTGCCTCAGGTTGTGGAAAAAGATCAAGTTCGCGAGTTGATTCGAAATTGTCGGACCAAAAGTCCACATTTGCAAGTTTGAGCTCAAATGATCATAACTTCATTATTCAGTATTTTTGATCAATTCTCAGAGCATATGAATCTCCTTGACATCACCTCCAATTTCTATTTTCAAGTCGAGACCTAATTATGTGTAGAAGGCCATCAAAATTCTGAGTACGTTAGAGGTCGTTTTGTAATTTTGACCTAAATTCACATGACTTTCATCCAACTTTCAAGGATCATAATTCTTTAGATATTCATTATTTCAGGTTGATTCTTTTCACACTATACTCTTCATGACGTCATCTATAAATTTGCTTTAAGGGTCGAAAACAAATTGTGCTTAGAAAGTTACAGTTTCTATTGGAACATTATAGGTCATTTTTTACCTCTAATTTCAATTTAGGCCATAAGTTTTTAAGACAATGCTTTTTATGAGAAGTTTTCATTGATCTAGAATTGTACTTCAAAATGATGAATCATGGCATAAATTTGAGGTTTCCTTATGATCAAAGTCTTGTTATCTCTTCTTGTTGCTTGAAACACAAAGTTGATTTGGGTGTGAGAATTGAACTAAAGAATTGAACTAAAGAATTGACTCCTTTGGTTTGTGATAAATGTCATGGATTAATTATGGTTCAAAAATTGACATTTGGAATTAAATCCCCTAAACACATGTGTGGTAACATTGATTTAAGAGAGATGGTCCAAATTTTCAAATGCCTTTCAAAGCAAATTTACTCTTTTTGAATTTCAAGGCAACTTCATCTTCATTCATCAAGAATTGAAATGTCAAAAAGTTCTCACAAAACTCATCATTGAAAATTCAAACATCATATTCAAATTTCAAACCTTTTGTCCAATATACTTCAAATATAGTTCAAGCTCAATTTCTACATCCCTCAAGGTTTCAAAGTTCCACTTCATTCAAGGCAATGTTTGAAGTTTAATGATCATTCAAGAAACTACAAGGCACGGTTTTGGCGATGCATTTGTTATCTCAAGACTTTAAGGGATTTACAAGTGAAATGTTCAAGTTACTAATGAATTTCAAACCCGTGTTTTGTTCAAAAATTCAATCCTAGCTTCAACTTACAAGAACAATCTCAAAAACGTTTACAATGCTTAATAATGTTTCAAGATTCAAAGATAAAAAGTACAAGTGATTCTGAAGGCACTTTTTCCATCAATGTGCAAATTTACAAAGAAGGATTCAAGATCTCTAGACCTAAATTTTAAAAGTTACATCAACTCTACATAAAAGATTTTCAAGACAATTATCCAAGCTTCTTGAATACATTTCTTTTGAAGCTCCAAGAACTCTTGACGACATTTTCTCCTCTTCGTTCTCCATGCTCTCACCATTGTTGCCATTCATGATACAAAAGAAATAAAGGAAATGATTAGAAAGAAATTAAGATGAATAAAAAAGGCTTTCAAAAGAGTTTTTGCAACTTCATCATTAGGGTTGTGTAAGGAATCAAAAATTTGGAGATCAAGTTCAATCATGTTCACAAGCAACAACCAAAGCCTCATATTGCATTTATTTCACAACAAAATCAGATGCAAGTATCAATCATGGGCCTAATTTTATCTCTTGCAAATCACAACCGAACTTGGTTCACAATAGAGGTTAAAAAAACAATTTACTACTCAGTAAAACTCAGAAAAAGCATCACTGCATACAAAAATCAGAGCCCAACAAGAAAATTGTTACAGCAAACAGATTCACGAGGCCTCATTCAATTTGTTTCACACATAACCTGAGTTTCAATAATTTAATCATGAGCCTAATTCCTACTACAAATCAAAAACATGTGTGGTTCACAGTAAGACAAAATCAAAGAGACAACATTATTGCAAACTCAGTAAAAGGCCATAAAATCACTGTTATAGTTTGCAGAAAAAACAAACTCAGAATCGCGATTTCAGCCTAAGCAACAAACATGTTTACATATCAGAAAAATAATACATCAGGAAACTGCAAAGGCTAATAGCAAAACAGAATTCATAAAGTCCTGTTATCTGAAAGTCAGGGGCCTATGAACTAAAAGTTCAAACCAACACAACAAAACTGTAATTCCCTATCAGTATAAAACCATTGAATACACAAATTTCAGGGGTGGGACTGTTCACAATATAGAAGCTGCACAGACACCAAAACACTAATTGTTCATCCTTTTCCAGAACTACAAATCCTTCAGATATCACAAACTAAAAATCAAAAGCCATCATCATCATTCTCCCATCTATTAATCTAACAAACCCTAACAATCATCATCTTCCTAAACACTAAACTAAACCCTTTAGAGATTCGAGAAAGAAGAAGAAGAATTTTCTAAATCAGAGTAAATATACAAACAGAATCAGAAGGACCTCACAAGAAATGATGCGATCACAGATCGCCCTCCACCGCCGTTGGAAGCTGCTAGTTCCCCCGGATGACACCCTCATTTCCGTCAAACCCTCAGTCACGCTTTAGAGAGTTTGATTTCACGTCCCAGAGTCCATATCTCTCATCATCATCACTGATTTTCATCGCCTGAGCACCTAGGGTTTATGAAACCCCCCTTAAATATCTACTCAATTTCATTCAGTTCATGTAAAATCAGAGGCCGGATTAGTGTTTAGAAGAAGAAGACGAAGCAGAATATGTAAAAAAAGACGTCGCTACCGTTTCCGCCACCACAAGGCGATTTTTGGCGCGGCAGACCCTTCTTCTCCAGCGAAGCTCCCTGAGAGATACGAGAAGATATAAGAGAAAAGTATTGTCTCTTTTTTTTTTTCTTCAGTTAATTGTGGTGTTAAGTTTTTTGTTTTATATGTTTAATTTTTTGTTTAAAGAATTAATCAGGTGATGACAATTGTCATCACCGTTGTGGCCATTGCTTGATTCAGTGCAGGTACCCTCATTATAATCACCATGCACCCTCAATCACAACCATCGGATTTTATTATATCCACATCCAATGGCATAAAGACGCGTTCCACAGTGTTCCTTCCTAGAAGTAGCCCACCAGATCTATCGTGTGACCCCTATCTTCCATATGATGCACTTGCACTCTCTTTGCCTTCAGATCTTCGTCAAATCTTCATCAGATCTTCATCATCACCATCCAGTGGCTAGGATTATGCATTCCACCGTGCTCTCTCCAGAGTCTCCCACACAGGATCAGGCATACCACTTCTGTTGGGCCTAAGCAAATTACTTCCAACACCCCTCCAAATTACTGATTTCAGACCCATTTACCTTTTCTCTTTATTATTTATATTTTCTTTTGTATTATTGTGTTTAAAAAATTTTCTTTATCAAATAAAAAAATAAAAAATATATTTTCTTATCTTAAATAAATAATTAAATTGAAAAAAATTATTTTAATATTCTTAATTGTTTTGGTTAATTAATTTTATTAAATAAAATGATTTAGTTTAATTAGTTATTTAATTAATTTCGATTGGTTTGTATTGTTGGTTTATTTAGAATTTTAATCGTATTATCAATTCGTTACATCCCCTCGCTTTGGTGTTATTTTGGTACAAATTCCTCAACCTCATTGGATCTTGGGTGTTGATAGGTTGAAAAACGAAATCTACCAAAATGGATTAATGATGTTGATGATATTTGAAACCCTAATTTTATCTAATACATCCCCTTCCTCTTCATCTTATCCCATTCTTACTTGTGCTATATGTTATTGAAGAATGATTTACATATCATTTCTATAACATGTGGTACATAGATTGCTATTGGCCGACCTCAAAATAGGTGTGAATTCTACATAAGTTCACTTACGATTGCTTAACATAGCACTAATTGTTGTCCTGATTCGAGAAATGATCAATCATGGCCCAAACCTATGTTTGCAAGTCCAAGTATGTTAATTCGAAACCTTTGATCGAATATCCTTAAGATTCATTGTTAGGAGACTTTGATCTTATCAGTCCTCTAATGAACCTTCATAAACTTTGGTCTAAGTGAATCATTTAAACATCATTGATCATATGGTGTCGCCTCGAGAACTTGAAATGAATGATATACTTAACAAAAAGAAAATGAAACTTGTTGTTGAGAAGCTTTGGTTTTATCAATCTTCTAATGAGTTTTCAAATGTAATTTTCAAGATGGTCATTCAACTAACCTTTGACTTCTAACTCACTAACAATTTACTTTTACTTTGTGCTTTTACTTTGTGATTTTACTTTATTCCTTTACTTTTATGCACCATTTACCTTAACATTTACATTTTTATGCTTTCTTCATCTTTGCTCACTTGAGCCTTCATTTTCTTTTTAAAGACACTTAATAATCAACTTGAACATTAAAATCCTTAAGGTTACTCGAACTATTTGGTTATTATCCTTGGCATTATGGAGATTGTGGACCTCTTAGACTTAGGATTAGAAGCCTTGACTCTATGGGACCTTGTGACTATGTTGTTATTTTGTCTAGAGCTCTTGGGGTTTACCCCAAGACATTGAGTTGATTTTATTTGTGTGAAGGTTATTTGGATTATGTGCTTTATTTGTGATTGGGAATTCTGTTGTATACAGCTATTACTCTACCCAATTTTTGAGAAGATTTAATGCATCTAAAGCTTGGTATTCCTAAGAGGTTTAGTATCTTTGCTTGCTTGGTTTCAATCCAAAGGACGAAATTTATACCTTGACTCCATATGTCAAGTGATAGCTTCTTGTTGGTTAGATGGTTATTTTCCTTAACTTTTACCTTATGCTTTAGGATAATCCCTTCATCTCCTCCCCTCTTCTTTAATTTCAAAATCTTCTCCCTCTTTTTCAAAACTCTTCTCTTTTTCTAACTTGAACCGCTTTCATAATGAACTTGGAGTTAGGTCCATGCATTTTTAAAATATTTTCTTAATCAAACTTTAACCAACTTAATCATACTTTGACACTTTTTATGAGAAGATTAAAATCAACCTCATTCAAACCATTTTTGGCACTTTGTCTTTTTACTTTTAAATTTTCTCAAAACATTAGACTCTTGTTAATCTTTGTAGTGATGCGAGCTACTATACTTCTATGATATGTAGTGAAGTAGGATATTTTCCAATTGGGTGTTGATTGAGGCTTTGTTTATTTTAAAATCCAAGTTATATCCTCCATTTTAAGATGATGCAAATTCTCCTTTCTCATGATTGTGGGTAGTAAGTATGTTTTCTACTCGGATATGACGACGATGTCTCATGTCTTAAAATTAACCAACACACTTGTGTTTTAAATTTTTTTAAAGGTGAACTACGAGTACCCTGATCCCCTATTACACAGAAGGTGGAACGTAGGCACTAAATGTTCGCAACCGCGACGGGTGCAAAAATTGTAAAAAAAATACTTCTTTTTTCTTCCCCACCATCTATTTTTGTATACAACACATATAGCCAGAATACATAAATTTTCAAAGAGGTTCCTGCGGAGTACCATAGATGTTTAGGGTGCTAATACCTTCCCTTTGCATAACAAACCTCGTACCTAGATTCTCTCCCCTTATTTTTTGGGTTATTCGCTCTTTCCCCATTCATCTGGAAACAATAAAGCACGGTGGCAATTTTTATTTGATTTGTGTGAGTTAAGTCAATCCAATGGCTTAGTCTCAACATTTTTACCACTAAACTATCCCAAATATATTGTAAAAAATGAAACATCCTCCAATCTAAAATCAAATCCTTCTTTAAGAACAGAGAGAGCTTTCATAATTATATTCCAAGACATTCATCTTGGTTTCTTTTTCGTATTAAGGAACATTTTATGGAATCATATTTTGAAGGTTTAATACTCAAGGAAGATCTCAACTCTTGGAAATACTTTTGATGATGACAACTAAACAACTTAAGTGCAAGCATAACAAGTGGTTACAAATGTAATCAGACTAGCATAAAGTTTAATGAGTTTTTTTATCGTGATGATTGACATCTAAATGGAATATAACTCAAAGCTCATCTCAAATAAATTTCAAGCAAGTGTCTACAAGATTAAATTACTTGACAAGTCTTGAAGTTTGTGAAAGCTCTCTTTGATGCGTCTGAGTGAATAAATATTATAAAAGCATGCCTTTCTCGTAAAGTTAGTCACACACACACACACACACACACACACACACACACACACACACACACACACACACTAAAACAAGTTTTATAAATTATTTTTTTTAATAAAAATAGTTATAAAAATATTTTAAAGTCGTGTCAGATGAATTAGGAGCTATCAGAAGACTTCTGGCCATTTTTTTGTTCTGGCCAATCGAGTGGCACTTATACCCAATTGATCGGGTTAAAGAAAATTTGCGCCCTAAAAGACTAGGATATTATGTTAATGAATGATAAAAGCAATATATGTTTTATTTCCTTTTAAATATTTCCAATTGATTGATTTTAGGTCAACAAATCGATTGGTGCGTCATGCCAATCGGTTGGCTCAATAATTTTGGCCCCAAGAAATTTCATTTTTTGTGCAAACCTCTAGCCTATAATTAGAGGTGCCTTCCCTCATATTTTCACATTAAGAATTGTGATCTCTCATATATCACTCCTCACTCTCTGTCTCTAAAAACATTATTTTACTTTCTCTCACTTATGAATTTAGTCATAGTGATTTCGAGAAAGGCCTTTTTCAAGCGAGGGAATTATGTAATTCTATAAAGATAGTAATGTAAATTCACCGAAGAATATTTGTTTCAACATTGGTTGAATAATTTATCCAATAAACTATTATTTATTTTGGTCCTAAGTTAAACCCTTTAAAAGCTTTGGTTTGCGGTTTTATGTTACTAAGTTATTGGTTCGGTTCGAAGACTTAACTCGTTCAAAATCTTTCATTGGTCTGAGATCTGCCCGATATTAAAATCTCAAGTTGGTTCATGGTTATCCTTTGTATGATCCCAGTTCAGTTTGAAGGCTCATCCTATTCAAAAGCTTTCATCAGTTCGTATGCTCAGTCTGGTTAAAAGCTAGCTAAGGTTTGAGATATGTCTGATATAAAATATCTATGGTTCGTAAGATTAGCACGAATTAAAAGATCACACATGTTCTAGATAATTTAGAACAAATTATCAGTTTAAAGATTGAATCCCAACCGCTCCAAGTTGATGTTTGGAAAGAAAACTACATGTTTCATTTAATTTCATCGTTGAGAAGAAAGACTCACCGCTTCACTCCTTGTATGCTATTTGGTTGGAAGTTAGCCATAAACTTAATTTTCCCATTATAAGGAGGTTCGAGTGTTCAACCTACTAAAACCTTTTAAGTTTATTTGATACTCTCAAGAACATAACTTGGGGAGAGGATTAGATCTTCTTTTTTATCAAAACTCTATAGTTTTGAGTGTTGTCTCTCTATCCCTTAACTTTTTACGTTCCATATTTTATTTTCACTGCTTGTTTTTAGAAGTTTTCTGAAATGTTTTTAATATATAAAATTGATCCTAAAAGTTTTTCAAACTTAGATTTATCGAAAACACACAATTCACCCTTACTCTTGTGTGTGGAGTCTTATGTCCAACATGTTTCCTCGTTGATGTACTTATGCTTCAAAAATTGGACCCATATGCAATCACAATCTTAGTGGAGACTCTAAACCAAATTACCCAACATAAAAATATTGGCCTCTCTTGCATTTTGGATCCCAAGACAACTCAAGATTTTTGTCTTAGTGATTTTATTTCAGCCACCGAGATGCACACCAGAGATTGAACTACCTTTCAACAAAAAATTCCTAGTCATCCTATCAATAAAATCATAAGTTGGCAGAGGTAGCCAAGCCACTTACATATAACAATTTGGTATATAGTTTAAGACAAACCTAATCAGAGTCAAATAACCAACCTTATTTAACAATTTATGTTTATGATTTATTTTCTCATTTTTATAAATTAAAATATGTATTTAAATAAGGTTCATGAAATTGATGACCAAGTCAAAACCAAATTTTAATTTAAAAAAGTAAAAGAAAATAAAAAGCAATTATAGGAAGTGAAAATTAATTAGACTATAGCAGAAAGGACAAATCCTCATCTTGTAGAGAAAACACAAAGGCTTATTTGGCAACTTTTATGCGTTGTTCATAAAGCCCAAGACGAAAGGATCTTGGAGACTTTTTAGAAAACTTTAAAAAATTTGTTCCTATTATTATATGAAGATCTTGCAGCTGATTTAAAAAGTGAAGATTGGATTTAATTTGAAGAGTCCAAGCCCATACTGCAATACTCTATAAATAAGTACTTGCTAGACCTAA